AGTCACTTAACCAACTGAGCCACCCAGGCGCCCTGGAATGCCAATTTTAATTATCATCTGGTAACTATAAAGTAGTCACTTATTATAAGATAGGTTTAGTGTTTTTGAGTATCTGACATCTTTTTTTAAAAGTAACTTCTATGTCCAACATGGGGCTTGAACTCAGTACCCTAAGATCAAGAGTTGCATGCTCTCCCGACAGAGCCAGCCAGGCGCCTCACTCCTTTTTAAGTATGACATCTTAATTTAATAGTATCTAATCTGATTATTGCTGGAAACCACAATTCCTGTGTATTTACTAGTTCACTTATAGTTACTAAGTTGTTCCGAATGAGTGTGTATGTGTGTTTGTGTGTGCACATGTGCGTGCTTTGTGCAATTTCTGTTTCTAACTGGAACGTGGCACTGGCACTTAGTGTTGGCTCTTTTGAGTTTGGCATGTCTAGGCTACTGTGTGACATGTGATGACCCAACTCTATCAAAATAACTGTGAAATCTTTATACATTTTGTCATGATGTCCTTTGGTTTTCACCTGACACAAAATCCTAAACACTACATGAACTCAGGCATTCAGAATTTCATGTTTTAAGGTGCTCATTTGAGAAATCATAAAGATTGTTTTAGATTAGTACCAAAATGCCAACGCAGGATTTTAAAACATTTTTTAGAGAAGTTGTGGATTTTCTGTGAAGGTATATGCTTGGGTCTCAGGCTGAGAAACACCGCCATGGAGATAGCCATTCATTCATTCAGCAGTATTTGCTGAGGCTACATGTGCCTGGCACAGGGACTCGAACAATCAACAAACTGCCTGCCCTTATGAACAGCCTTACAGTCTAATGGGGAAGGAGGACAATAGACAAGTAATTATATAATTTCAGATAGTGATTAGTGCTATAAAGAAAGTGAGCAGAAGGACATGGAGGGTGAGAAGGACAGAGGTGCTATTTTAGAGAGGTTGGCAGAAGTGGTGGAGCTGATATTTGAGCAGACACCTAAGTGATTACCTGAAAAAAGTTTTCCAATCAGAAGAAGGGCAAGTGCAAAGGCCTTGAGACAGGAATTTACTCAGAGTGTCTTGAGGATCAACAAGGAGTTCAGTG